AATGTTGAAATTTTTCCATTAGCTTTTTCATCCGCAGTTAACAGTAGCCTCTCAAACCTATTTTCAATGCCGATTATGTATTTTATAACCAGAGTTTTTATACAATCACTTAAAAATCAAAAACACTTGTTGTGCGAGCATGTGTTTCATCTTTTTAATCCCTAGATTGGCGCATGTGGTGTGAAAAGTCTTCTGACAGTATGTGCATGGCATTCCTGCCTTGACCGCTTTTCCCCAGCCCCTTGAGCCACACACCCAAACCTTGCGTGACTAATTGCGTTGACAAACTTCGGAGACCCATTTTCCGTGCTCTGTGAAAGGCGAGATGGGAGAATTTTTACAAAGGTCAAGTGAAGCGAAGTCGATGTGGCTGAGTCAACCACACGTCGGTGAGAAAACTCCGCGTGCAAGACAATGACTGGGGCAACGGTGCGACTGGAGATGGAGGGAAGGACACACGTGCAGACGCGGTGGAGAACGGAACAGAATTGAATAACATAAATTGTATCCGTAGCTCTCTTAGAAGTGATCACAGAGCTGAGTAGAATCTCGCTGGATAGAGCGTAGAATTCCCTTCAAACTGATATCACAATGAGGGTAATGCGTGGAAACTTGAACAAGTTTACACACGTGAATAAGGTGGAGAATTCGCTCCGAACGGCGGAAACGTGAAACACGTAGGGTATATATCCAAAGGAGTGATATCACTCAATGTAGCTCACCGAACTGAGTCGAATGAGTGCTGACTCAAAGTTGTACGACGAGTGAACGACTGTGTTTACCTAAAACGCTGCGCCTAACTTCAGCATTGCTCGTCCGGCTGCCTCGCCAGATTAGTGTAATATACGAACACTAACAGTTTACCTTTATTCAAATTGTTGTTTGACAAATTTGAAGTCTGTATGTCGATTGTGAAAAGTTCAGTAGCCTCGGTGGGATTCTAACCCATGCATGGACGCTGCCTACGGTTTGTACGCGCACGCTCTACCAGCTGAGCTACCTTTATCCTGTTTTCTGAAGCCAATTGAACATTTTCCTCATTTTCGTGTAGGGTTGATAGCATTTCGTAGCCCCAGGGACACTTTAAAGCATGCATCAGTTTCACGGGTATTAAAGATCCGTTCATTTTCTCTATACATCAATGAATTCCAAACTTGATCAAGCTGGGTTGTTCGGTTACCGAGATATTTCGGAAAAACGGGGTGGGGTTAATAGCACTTAGTGCACTATACCGTTTGTCATTCGTGATGCGAATCGTCCTCTTTTCCCCGCTCATGTCTCAGAATTAGGGGGCAATTCCACTGACTTGATTGGAAGTATACAATTTTCAATGAATTTCTCCTCAGATATATCTGATTAGAAATCTTTGCAGTTCCATCATCATTCAGTTTATTCTCAATAAAGCAGAGAACAAACTGAACCGTCGCGGTCTTATCATACGGAGCTGCAATCGTAAGCACGTTGCATCGGCACGGCTTCAACAACCAAATATATATCGACCGATTAACGCTTCGCTGAATTTCGTTCCTGTTTCTTCTATTCTTTTCATTTTACTTCCTTTTATTGAATATGCAAAGATATAATTTTCAAAACGGGGGAAGCGGCCAATCACAGGGCTGCCATTCAACACACAACGAGGAAGGCGGTGGTGGTGGGATTCGAACGCACATCTCCGGGGTGATGATATGAGCTTAGTTAGACTGGGTAGACACATTATTTTGAAAACGCAACTTTCAGTGGAGTCCTGTTCTGTTCCATCGATTTAGCGACTGACACGTCATCGTTAACGTATCTGACCTGAGATCTTGCAAACCTGCAGTCTTTCAGCTAGTTTCCAAACCCTTTGTGTTTATTTGATCTCACCGATGAACAAATCCGTTAGACTTTCATCTCATTTCTTCAATAAAATCAATGTTTAGGTCTTAATTTTGCAGTGTCTTGTTAATAGTAGTAGAGATAATTTTTATTTCCTTTTGACTAAACATCCTTGAAAATTCACATACGCATGCATTCCTCAGTCCATCTATTGAACCATACTCTGAAGGGTGTTGGACTAGACTGTTACAGGTTTGGTTTCCTTGCCATCTGTTTGCAATTTAGCGACTTCAGACAGGCACAATCTACTGGAAGCGGTAAATGAAATGTGCAATGAGCACGTTTGTACGCATGTATACCTATATAGATTGTTGGGATTACATTAGATCGACTGTCAACTGTCAACATCTCAGGTTAGACACATGGCAAGGGTATGTCGGCCACTGAGTCCACTAACCAGAGCAAGCCCCATTAGAAAACTGAGTTGTTAAGTAAGTGTGCTGCCGTTTATGTGTCCACCTGTGTGCACATATCAGAAACAAGAACAAAATTCTTCTGGGCGAACTTCGATCGACAAGTCGCTGTGCTTTGCAGTCTCGATCGCAGCTCTGACAGCTAAAGCTGAGAGCACGCACAACCGAGTGCACAGGGACATAGATACGAATATTTTTAATCAACTATCTTTGGCGAGAAAATCTCTGGCGTCGTTACTTGCCCCCGCATCTCGTCAAATCGCCCTAATGTAACGAAAATGACACTGTTACTACCACAAAATGTAAGAAAAATAAAACAAAACTATAGTTTTGGTTATTTACAACCTTGAAACGAAAAACAAACCACCAAGAAGCAGTTCACTGAGGCAAAATTCACAGATTTAATTTACTATAAGCTTGCTACAAATATACTGCCAAAAGGGCTACTTGGATAAAACGTGTGTTGCATTTATTATGACTGCAGGAAACGACTGTATAAAAAACATAATTTGATAAGGCAAAATTATAATGTTTGAATTTAAGCAATGAGTAAATAAATAAAACTTCAGTCGTTACTAATGCAGCTTTATATTAACATTGATTTCCTCTCCCTAGGGAGAATGGAACCTTGGTCTTTCAGATTTTAGATGTAAAAATATAAGATATACCTCAAAATATGTTTCACTGCGTTTTTATACATGAATAATATATTGTCAATTCTTCAGGGGAACGCGGTTGATTTGGATCTGCCAGTAATGATCCTAGAGGATTCTTCAGACATTATTCCTGGATAGAAATATTTGCAGCTCACTGCATATTGGTTTATTCCCAACAATAGGGAACCATATTGATGAAGGACAATAATTCTTCTGATGATCAATTTGAATATATATCAGGGTTGCTGCTAATCCATCGACCCACACACCTAAACCTCATACCATCAATTGACCACTGAGTTTCTGATCAAATGACATTCGTTACTTTGATATACTTGTGAAGTTGACTCAACCGCATATTTCTTTCCAGCTTATCAGTTCACCTTACTTTTGCTTATTCAACAACGACATTGATTCTAGAACCGCTGTTGACTGTTCACAAAACCTTTTTAGTTGTGAGTGACCTGTTGACTCGGCTGAATGAAATGAAATTCGATAGGCAAACGGACTTTTTTCCAATGTAACCAGCGTTAAACTAATGACAGGTTTCTTTTATTTTGCTCTTATTCATGCTGAACCCAGTCCACCGGATTCTATTGTGATTTGACTCTCCACAGTTTAGAGTTTATGTTAACAGTTTGCATAATCGAACAGTCAGTACCTGTAACATTGCAGTAAACTTATCATAAAGGAACGTGAAATAGGAAAAATATCATTGATCTCTAATACTCCAAAAATGTGGACGAACAGTTTGAAAGTACATATGAAGGTATGTGCATTCGGGCGTCTTAAATGTGGTAGCTTTTGGGGTCCTCTAGTTTGCATTGAACAAGCTGGTCCGAGATACTCATTTGATCATGCGATCTGTTTCTACAATCGATGTAAATGTCATACATATAAACCTATTCAAGGTACGGTTGCTTAACCGATGTGAATTTCATTAAGCGTCAGATGTCGAGGCTGCAACTCAAAGCTCCGACAAGGTTTCTCTGTATTCTTACAACTGGGCTTTCGTAAAGCTAGCAGTTCTCGACTAAACAGTCTGTTCAATCCTTCTGGTGATTAACTATTGAATTGCCTTATCCAATAACTATTTTAGCTTTATTTAACGCACACTGAGTTTGTCTTCATTTCCTTCAAAACAGTAGATAGATTATTTGCTCTCAGGCAATCATTTTCTTTCTCTGCGTCACACCATATCAACAGAACGACCAAGCACAGTATCTGAAGTAGAAGAATGTTTGGATACCGAAACCCATTCGAACTCAGTGGGCGTTGTATCGGACTCGCCATCTGAGCCATCCCATTCACAAGAATCAGATGTCATCTCCGTTTCTGAAGCAAACGAATCCATCGCTCCTCCCACTCCCGGCTCACCGTTTGTTCCATCTGCTCCAGTCGTTTCGGATGAACCGGACGATAATGACCTCTACTCCGATGATTTCGATTCGGAACCTGAAATGAACCCAAATTCAGTTTCACAAACAGCCAGTTCTATGTCTCATTCATCCAAGATGACAACAAAAGCAGAACGACGAGGTAATCACTAAACTTAGAATTAAATTATTTAATGTGGTAGGCTCCTTCTAGTTTTAGTTCATTGATCCCAACCCATTAAATACGAAATCTGATAATTGTACCATCTCCCTGGCAAACGAAAGTGTTATGTGTAAAGTTAGACACTATTAGATAGTGAAAGACATCGGATACGGATCAGGCGCAATATGAACTTAAAACATTCCAACCATAGAGTAGTTTTTGAAAGCTCAATGAATGTCAGCAGCAGTCTGAAGTCATGAATACAACCAACATACGAAAACTATCAAAAGTTGTACGGCGAGACACAATGAATTTTTATTCCTTTTATATGCTGTTATCCATTGCACCTGTTTAATCTCTATTTTACTCTGTTCTCTGTTCCCCAATCCCCCCATATTCTGTTATTGTTTTTAGCATGGTTTTGGTACCATGCCTACCCGCAAA